ATGTTCTTCTCATCTGTATTGTGATGAGTTCTCTTCAGTTCTGCACTACTAGTTGCTCTGCACGATATTTTCCCCCTAATTAACTCCTTCTAGTTGTCATAACTATATTGGTTCTCTTTATACTTGAATTTCATGAGGAAAGACCACTTTCTATAGCTATTTCCTTGTTATCGTGTAGGACATTTGGCTGAAGGTACTTACAATCTGACTTCTCTTGAGCCACCACAAGAGGAAGCACCACTTTGACAAATTCATGATGTAGATGACTTGGACAGCATTGAGGTTCATGAGGTACTAGATGAAGATGATTCAATCACTGAGATACAAGAGGAAGCAAGTGAGGTTGTAGCTGTTGAAAGAAATGGACAACGAGGTTCTCTGTCACGAGATGAAGAAAATGAGGTCGTAGCTATTGAAAGAAGCAGGCAGCGAAGAACTACTACTACATCAAGCAAAAACATGAAAAGGAAGAAAAGAGACCTAAGGAGGGTAAAAGGATTGAAGAAATGATGGGGAGATACCTAGACATGAGGACTAAGCAAGTACAAGATGAGTCTGCAGATCTAGCCAAAGAAAAGGAGGTTGCTCAAGGTAATGATTTCTCTATCAAAAGGTGTATATCTGTTTTGAGCACAATGGAAGTGACAAAGGAAGAAAAGACAAAGGCATTTGCAGTGTTCATCAAAAGCAAAGAAAATAGAGAGGTCTTCCTAAGTGGTTGTGAACTAGATCAAGAAGCAACTTTGGTTTGGCTCAAAAATACGATGGTCTAACAGGTCAGTCTACTTAATTGTTAAAAACTTGATTTTTTCCTTCTATTAGTTTAGGGGCTCAACTTTTTATTGTGTTACTGAACCGCACACTCCATGACAGTCAAGTAGGGGCTCAATTTTCACTGCACTATTTGTTTAGGAGCTACTTGCTTACTTATCAACCTTGCTATGTACTTTGTTGTTTGATTTCTGGCTATCATGGTTCCTGTCTTACTTTCCTTAAATGAATCTGTTTCAGTCTTGTAACTGGAGCTGCACATTTTCCTTTTGAAGATAGTGAGTTAGTGACTATGCAGACCATTCAGTAGATTGATAATAGTGCTTGTACAATTTTCTTTTTCTCTTTTTTTTGCCAAAGGATTTTTTATAAGTTGTCGAAGGATACCTGCAAGTTTAAAAGGATGTCAAACTTTTAATAGCATCCTAGTTCTTGTATTTGGTGAAATCCTTCTCTTGACATCTAGCTGCAGTCTTTCTAGTAGGCAGAAATACCAGAACAGCAGATACCATCCTAGTTCTTGTATTTTATCTGTCTTATCCTGTTGCCTCCTCTACTTTGCAGATGCATGAACTTTTGAAATTTTGAAATAGCACACTATTAATGGTTGTCTCTGCACAAGGTCGCTTCACTCATGGAGCCCCTATTGGTAGTGTGGGTAGTGTGCTGACATATGTTTGAGAAAAAGTATACTTTGTTTGGTCAGGACTAATTTGAAGCACTATAAATAGGAGCGCAGAATAATGGAAGCAATTTTAGGCTCTGTTCATACTCTTTTATAGCTTGTCTTGGGATTTCAGTATTTTCTCTGAATATAGAAATTATTGGATTCGCTTACGCTGATCCATCTTATATTATTACTGAATCTTAATTGTCCATTGCAGAAAATTTAGCTGTGACATTTCCATTCACTGTCAAGAAATTTCACTGTCAAGAAATTTCAGTTTTTTCACTTCTCAACCAATATGCCATTTTTTCACTTAACCAATATGCAATATGCTGATCTTGTTACTGCATGTCAACCAATTTTAGTTGTAGTTCTATATTTTGGATTTTTTGCGAGATCTTATAGTATAATTTATACTATTATCAGCAGGACTAATCCTATTTTGGTTAGAAGCTAGGGCTAATCATCTTGGGATTTTATATTTTGGAGGAATTGCAGTTCTCTAGTAGAATTTCAGTTAGGAGCTAGGGCTAATTTGATTTGTCACTGTTCTTGATTATGAATCCAAATACTATTGTCATGTCACTGGAACTGATGTTGAACTTTTTGTCTACAGGCTTGAGTGTGCAGGAGGTCTAAGGTCTATGGTCTTCACATATATCAACATCACTAGATAACCTAGAATTTTTGTAACTTCTATGAGAGATTTGTGCTTCTGCCAGTTCAAACTCTATTTTGTCTTGATCAAGACTGAAAGGATGATGCTTATTGATCAAGACTCTATTTTTGTTTGCTACTTGTCTGCTACTTCTCCATCATTTCAGTCCCTTGCTTTTCATGCATGTAGATAAATGTTTACTATCAAGTTGCTGTCAAACAAGCTGCTAATGTATACTGTCAAGTTGCTGTCAAACAAGTGTTTATGTCATGTTGTAATTGTTGACCCTGTTGAGCTGCTCTTTACAACCACAATGCTGCTTTTAATCTATAGGGAAGAAAAACAGCCACAGTCTACAGTAGCAGTGGCTGTAAAGGGCAGCTAAACAGGAACGAAACCCTGTAATCATTACTGGCTGAAACGAATGGTAGTTGCACTAGCTCCGTGATAATTAATTTCTAGTTATGTATCTGGACCTGAAATGAGTGACACAGGGCCTGAAATGAGTGACACACCTGGATCCACTGTATCAGGCATAGAAAGTTTTAGGGCCAAGAAGAGAACCCAAGCAAACCAACGAGGCCTTAATTACAGCATGGGAGAATACTTTAGTACTAGTTGTAGATTGTGATTGCGTGATTGTGAGTGGCTGAATGGAAGGAGTACAGTGGCAGGGGCAGTCCATCCGTTCCCGGTGAACATGATGTCCCATATATAGAAATGGAAACGAGAGTTGGGAGAGGAGTTTTTCCGTCCGTTTCTGTCCGTTTTCATCACTATGTGTGTGAGAGAGACAGGTATAAAGAGAGCAAAGTAAAACTACTCCTTCCGTCCATAAAGAAGAGTCATTCTCGTTTTCCAAAAAGTCAATAACTTTTAACTTTGACCAAATATATTTAATAAAATATTAACATTTACGGTACATGATTAGTATCATTAGATAGATCATTCGGCCTGTTCGCTGGTTGGTTTCTGGGCTGGTTTGGGCTGGCTGATGCTGGTTTGTTGTGAGAGAAAAACACTATTGGCTGGCTGGTTTGGGCTGATTGAAACCAACAAGCGAACAGGGTGATTGAATATACTTTCAGAACAAACCTATTTGAAGATATAAATGTTGCACGTATTTTCTACAAACTTAATTAAAGTTGAAAAAGTTTGACCAGCACGATTCTCATAGCAACTCTTTTTTAGGGACGGAGGGAGTAGATCGACAGCGCACGTGTTATGAAAAATAAGATAGCTTTGGTTCATCTAAATGTAACGTGACTTTTAGCCTGTTCGTTTGTTGGTTTCAGTCAGAGCTTATCAGCCAGCCAACAGTGTTTTTCTCTCACAACAAACCAGCATCAGTCGGGCTTATCAGCCTAGAAACCAACCAACGAACAGTCCATTAATTACATCGGATAAACATGTCTTGTTTTTTTTTTTGAAACAATAGGTCTTGTTATTCAATGTTTGTTCCCACCTTCCCTCGTGTAATCGAGTCCCACTATGAATGGATAACACTTTATACAAAATTGATACAGTTCCAACCCTAAATGTAATCAGATACTATTTTGTTGTCTTCTCCCACAATCTTGTTCCCTTTTGCATTTTTGTTGCCATTTCATCAACCAAACAACCTGCATATCTGTCTCGTACTTTAATGCGAATAAATAGAAAATGCTTCGCTGGCACACTGATAATTCATGTTGATGGTGTTTGAACCATGTGTTATTATAAATTAATCAAATAAAATGAGGTTTAATATGATAATATTTTCTTATTTCAGAAAATATATACTATTATATATGCTAGAGCATAGCATTTTTATTCAATGGAATAAAATTCTTAGAGTTGAAGAAATTTTCAAAAGATAATACATCTTCTAATATATTTTTAATGAACCATTTTATTGAAAAATAATATATATTCCTAAAAATATTTTAAATTTAAGCTAGAATATTTTTTAGTTGGCATGTAACAAGTTTCTTGCAAAGTTGGAACATGATCATTCTTTTATTGAGACAATCACTTGTAAAAATATTGTATGTTTACATTTAGTATTTTAAGTCATATAAATTAACATATGCAATTGTTATAAAAAATCGTTGAAAGAAATAAATGTAATCACACAGATTACAAGGAAAAGAGAAAGAAAGAATAGAAAATAAAGAAAACAGGCTCATTCTTTCAAACGAGCTGGGCTCCATCTAATCGTAGGCCCGTTACTCTATATGGGCTGGTCTATGTCCTGGACAAATCTCTAGTCCTCTTCACCTCCTCCTCACGGCGGCTTTTCTGGCGGCGGCGGCGGCAGGGCGAGCGGCGCTATCGGGCCCCTTCGCCGGCGACGAGCAGCCACGTGGTACACCCTTCTCTTCCCTTGCCTTGCCCTGCCCTGCCTCCCCCTTCCGCTGTGCGAAACCGAGCGCCCAAAACCCTACGGTGCCGCCGGCGCCGTCGCTCTCCTCCTTCGCCAGCGCCGCGGCGTGCCGCCGCTTCCCCTCTTCTCCTCCTCCAGCACCACACAGTGCTGCCGCTCCCCCTCCTCTCCCCCTGGAGCTTGCGGCTGCGGTCAACTTCAACTGGCGTTCGGCTTCCTCGTCAGCGGCTGGCGGCACCTGCGCAAGCGAGGACAGTTGGAGCTCCCGCCAACAATCTCAGGTTTTGGGGGGCTGGGGGTTTCCCCTTTCTTTGAGGGGTTCGGATGGGGATCCGCTAGGGCAAGCTTTTCCCCCCAAACGACATTTTTTTTTTCTCGTTGGGGTTGATAATGGGGAACTGGTGTAGATGCCTTAAGCTGTTTGTATCCGGATCTGACGCAATTACTTGCGTATGTATTATGCCCAAGTTCGCCTCTGATTGCTGTGCACGCCATTTTCGCTTGCAGGAAAGCTCAGGCAAAGAGCAGGGTAGCAGGAAATGGCAGCATTCCTGAGGTCAAAATGTCCATCAGGTATCAGTTTGAAGGCCTCTGACTCTGAGATTTTGATTTCATAACGAGGACACGTCACGTAGCATCTGCCATCAGATAATACAATTGATCCAGTTTTTTGAGCTTAGATTTAAGTAACAGGCTTCTTTTTTTTAGAATAAAAAAAAAACGATCCACGTTCAAATTTTGCCAATGTTTTGTGTTTGCCTAGTAACCAACTAGGTTACATAGGCATGGTTGAGTGGTTAATTACAATCAGGCACTATTGTTTAAAGCTTATGCTTTCAATGCATAGCCGTAAGTCAGTAAGAAACCGTCTGCACCTTGTTAAAGCTTATGCTTTCAATAGATAGCTGTGAGTATGCTGTTCTAATTCAAAGTGTTGAATGCTTCTTGATTTATATAGTTGGGCGTACTTTGATGGGAGGCCTTGGAAATAGTTTGTTTGGAGCAGCCAACTCTTCTGTTGAGGCAGTAACAAGATCTTCTCATTGTGATGCTATCAGTCAGGTCAGCTGTTCTTTCTGTGCAGAAACATTATTATGTTGACATTAAACAGGTACACTTACTGTTTTGAATAAGCTGCTGGTAAGAAAATAAATATTTTCGAAGCCTTATGATAGCTACACTGACATTCTCAATGTGATTATTGAACAATTGCATGTCTTCCATTTTTCCCATGATATACGCCATCCAGCATGTCATTGACCTTGCTTATACAACTGGGGTAGTTGAAAATCTTTTATTTATACCTGAGCCTTTTTAGAGTAGCCTTAATGTGTTATTACCAGCCATTACAATAAGACTATGACTAGATCCTGACACACTGAATTCCTATCACAAACTGTATTTCGTTACAAGGCACTCTTGTAGACACTCTTCATGAGCATGTTTCGTTGCTTAGGCAGTGTTTGGTTGCCAGGACCAAATCATGCATGCATTGGTTCATCCTGGATAACTATGTGGGGTCCACCTCTGCCACCGTTTGGTTGCCGGGCTGAACAAATACATCCATGACGGAACAATCCAGATGCAACGAATATTCTTCTGAGATGCTGCATAATCCCATGCACCGTGAAAGGCCGAACAACACCATCCAAGACGGCCTTTCTCGCGCACGTGTCGCCTCCCAGTCGTTCCCCTGGCTCGGTGACTGGGCGTCCTGTGCTTCCGGCCGCATGGATTCGTTCGTTACTACTTTCACGTTCATCTCCCTTTCCTTTTCTTGTGCATATATTTCCTGGTACTTAAAAAAATATTTATTGGGAAGTACCACAAACTAATTGCAGCTATCTTATTATATTGTTGCATTTATAATAGTAAATTTGTGTAAATGCATGGTACACGCAAAAAAATTGGATGAACCCATACAACCATCCAAACATAATCTTATACCGAATCATACAATTCCATACATAGTAACCAAACAATCAACATGTACCATCTCATCTAGAATTATCCCAACCATGGTCCATCCGTTCAGGACGATCCATCCCATTCACCTCTATACATCCAACCAAACACTACCTTATTTGATGAAAACTAGCTAACATTCAGGAGTTCCTCGAAAAAAACTGTGGTCTGAAGCTAAGAAGATACCTTTTGGAATATAACTTTCTCTTTGCTTGTATATCTCATCCTGGTTGTTTTCGAAGAAGAAAAATGAAATATATACTGACCTCAGACATCGCACAACTGTTGGTCAGAAAATCATTTTACTCTGTCTTTCAATCCATATATGGTAACTTACACTGACATTCTAGTTTTGATTAATGAAGATTGCCTATCTTTTCATTTTCCCTAATACCCATGACAACCATCATCTAATAAGTTATTTGATTATCATTTAGTTGCTTCATATAGCAGAATGCTTCGATAGCTTTGGTAGTAGAGCCCTTTTTTGGTTCCTGAGTTTGCAATTTTCAACACTTGGTAGTAGGGCTATAAATAGGTCCTTAATCACAGTGAATTATGACAAACTATATTGCTTTACAAGATACTCTTCTTAAGCTTGTTCAGTTTGATGAAAACCAACTTGGACTAATTATTTAAAAAGTTTTAAAAAATTGAAAAGAAGGTTCTTTGTAACCCTACTATATGGCCATGGTGTGAAGGTAGCTAGATAGTTGCTGGGATATTAACTTATCTTGAAATGATCACAAATTTCAGTGTGGATTCCATGGGAAAAAATGATTAACATATGTTCTTATCCCATTTTCAGCAAATCAGAACATTCATCCAGATGAGGACCAACCTCAAGGTCGTGGATAACTCGGGGGCCAAGCGGGTTATGTGCATACAGTCCTTGAGGGGGAAGAAAGGAGCAAGGCTTGGGGACACGATCATTGGATCTGTCAAGGAGGCCCAGCCTCGTGGCAAGGTCAAGAAAGGAGACGTCGTCTATGGAGTGGTCGTCCGCGCTGCCATGAAAAAAGGACGCAGCGACGGCAGTGAGGTCCAGTTCGACGACAACGCGATAGTCCTCGTGAACAACAAGGGCGAGCTGATCGGCACCCGCGTCTTCGGTCCCGTGCCCCATGAGCTGAGAAAGAAGAAGCACCTCAAGATTCTGGCGTTGGCTGAGCACATCGTTTGAGGTGTTGTCCTCGTTCTTTGCTATCGGCCTGTGGGAATGTTTGTGGAGCGAAATGTTTGTGGGAATGTTTTCGTTCTCTGTTTGAATAATGCATTCTGAAATGATAGCATGAACCATTTGAACTGCGTTTGAGTCCTGGCAAAAGTCATATTCTGGACTTGCATTTGACGTTAACAGTATTGCCCATTCGGATGGCCAACACGTACCATGATCGATTCTGGAGTTTCTTTTTTTTTTTTTTTTTTTTTTTACAAGCTGCTTTCACATGCATGCAGGTATTCTCAAGATAGCTGTAAACTATTACTTAGCCGCTAGTGGATGATGTGGATCTAAGCAGGCTTTATTGACCTTACAAATGAAACAGGTTTTGCACTGCACATGAGCTGTGTGGTGTATTGGTCTTGCTGTTGATCCTGATCTGAGGGCATGCAGTGCTATATCTGGCTTGGTCAGAGTTAGGACAAGCATCCTATAATGAAGCAGAGCCGGTGAGAGAGATGCTCTCACTGCACTGGTAACGCCGATGCATGCGGCGCCTTGTTTTTCTCCTCGTCTCAAGCTACACCTGACCCAAAAAAGCACACAAGAAAGAAGAATTGCATTCCCGAAGGAAAGGAGGTGGTGTCTGTCGTTGCTAGGACGATGGAGGCAACCGACGCGTCGCCGCTGGAGGTCTCGCCACGGGCGGCGGGGAGCTGGCGGCGGACATCGTCGAGGCCGTGGAGCCGGAGCAGCAGCATCGGGCGTAGCGGCAGCAGCAGCGGGGGCAGCGGCAGCATCGAGTACACGAGCCTCCGCGATGTGCTGGAGGAGGAGGAACATCAGTGCGGCGGCGGAGGCGGAGGCGGCGAGTGCGGGGCCGGCGGCGGCGGGTGCGGCGAGCATCAGCACCACCAGCAGCAGCCGTGGCGCTGGGGCAGCAGCTGGGGCGAGTACTCGTGCCACGACATCCACGACTTCGACGCGTCCAACATCGGCATCCGGAACCAGCTGCTGAAGCACGCGGCGTCGGCGTACCTGCAGTCGGCCGTGGTGGTGGCGGCGGGGCGCGACCAGGGCTGCTGCCTCGCCCGCCTCTGGCGCCGGGTGCAGCTCCGCGGCGGCTGCGCAGGCGGGCGGCGCGGCCGGGGCGGCCGCGGCCGCGTGCTCATGCGCGCATGCTCGTGGCAGGGCTGCGTCGACGACCCCGCCGCGTTCGTGGCGACCTGCGCACGCGGCCTCGCCACGTTCGTCGCCGACCGCGTCAGTGCCATCTGGGCGTGGTAGCTTTGCAGTGCCATCTGTGGAATTCCTTGCCGAGTTTGAAACTCGAAAATCACTAGTTATATATGTATGGTCCTGGATCCAGCGATCGTTTTGCATTTGTCTCTCGAATCGTATGCACGCCCTAAAACCTTGTCAGGTGTAAAATGGCAGTATGCCCTTTCGCCATGAAATGCGATCAGATGAGATATTTTGTGTGCTGTTGGAGACAACCATGACAATCGACGGATCATCTCCAAATGACATCATCATATATAATGTCTCTGAACTAATTCATATTACAGGAACGAAAACGCGTTATGATAACAGAAGTAGACTGTCAACGAACGAGGAGACACAGGTTTTGGTTAATCTTACAGTCCGCAGTGAAGTTCCAGCTTGATTTATGTTGGATTACCTTTGATCATCTGCTGTACACATGTATACATACTACATAATCCATTGGTACATAGCAAAACAGATTAGTTTACGTAAATGTGACGTACCATGAGAAATTAGGTGGGTTTTCAATAAAAAGAAGAGACTAAGTCTGACTGGTCCTCAAACTTGGGAAGGTATGTCAAATCGGTTCTCATGCTCGGAAACTATATCATTTTGGTCTTTAAACTCAGTTCAGGTCTCATAGCTAGTCCAAACGGATCTAAACCCGTACCCACATAGCATGCTAACACGTGAGGCTAGATCCATTTGGATGTTTATGAGACCCGACTAAGTTTAAAGACCAAAATGACACAAGTTTTGAATATAAGTATCGGGATGAAACACCTTCACAAGTTTAAGGACCGATCATGTACTTTGCTCAAAAAAATATATGGACATCTAAATTTAAGTTGAAGAACCTGGATAGTGAGGTATCATGTACATGACCACACTTTTCATGCTATCACAATTGAGCTATGCTCACTTTCAAAGTCTATGTACGCACCTTTTCTTTGTTTTTATATGTTAGGGTTATTTGTCCGAAATGTAATGTTGATAATATGATTCCAAATCTTGGGATCCTAGGTACTCTATTTTGTGCGCTCACAACCGATGAATTCATTCTCATTTGATTTTCAAGAATTACACATTCTTTGTTCCATTTGATCATTTTTGTGAAATTCTTGTATTCTAAACGAGTCCATGAAGCTACTACCTACTCTAAGGAGGTGGAATTAGAGATGGTAATGACTAATGAGGAACCAACCCTCGGTTTTCCGTAGGCAATTCCTATTAGGGATGAGGATGGGAGCATTGCCTCCGTGGGGGACTTAACGGGGAATTTTTCCCTCTGCGTTCTATGCGGGAACCTCGAGCAGCTAATTTAAGTTCTACATCAAACCGTTCATCTTCAATGTGTCTTCATATCCTTCTATCCATTCCCCAAAGTGGTGACTCAATGTTGGGGAATTTGAACCTCACATCTCCCGACACTGAGTACCACTTGTGTGATGCCACATCATACTCCACCGTCCCCGCCATGACCCCATGCGACGCCAATGTCCCATTCCCATTCTCGACGATACCACCCTAGCTTTAGTACAGTCCACATGACGCTTGACGCGGATCCAAAGCCGCCACCCCCCGACCTCAGCACCACCCATCCCATGCAAGTCTATGGCGATTCAACCATGGACTTGTTTTCCATGACGCTAAGCTCTGAGGATGAAGAGGGAAGATGAGAGCTAAAAACCCATCTCTTGGTACTCTCTGGACTAGTGGCCTAGTCCTAATCTTCTCTCTCGTCTTGTCTCTTTGATTCTATAGATTTGCAACATGTGTTTCAGTCAGGGTGTAGTAGTTGACTTCCAGTTCTTACTAATTTTATGGGGATACAACCATGTCGGGTACAAACTCCCCACGCATGGGTGGAGATGGAAAGAAAACGTTCTCTATGGGGACCATGACGAGATTTTTTCTTATGATGAGGACGGGCTGGGATGGTGAGACGACCCTCGCCTAAGAGCAAGGCTAATGATTTAGTCAACCGAAGGTTGTAGCAGGTGCCATGTCATATAAAGCTAGCAAAATATAGCCAACTGGCATTATGGATTAGCTCATAGGTTGGCTGTACTAGTATGTAAGCATTTAATACTTACTACATGTGTGCACACAGGATTGGAAGGGCAGCAAAGAGCCAGCTCTTTCGCCTGGGATAGGCGGTCCATCCGATTTAGCCCAAAAGAGATAAACGCCCGCTCTCTTCTCTCTTATTTTCTCCCTCCTCTGAAAGGTCCTTGTTGATTTTGGTAATTGAGTGACAACCTAGGTGGACTAATTGTGTTTATGTGAGATACACAGGTGATTAGTCCACAGGTACATGTGTGTGAGCAACATATGCCATGAAGGTGAAAATGGCTTAGAGATGTTGCAAAGCTCACACATGTGATGATGAAGGAGCTTAACGCACATGAGACATGACATTGAGTCATGTGATCAAGGTGGAGAAGATCAAGACAAGACTTGGCTTGATGGACCGGTTGCAAGCGTGAAGGGCAAGTCGAAGGCTTTGGAGTGATGGACCGCGTGACGGTGAAGCTTGAGCAAGACTTGGCGCCGATGGACGATGGCAACGGTGAAGGGCAAGTGAAGTCAAGATCGATGAACCAATATGATCACGTGATGATATGAAGTGGATCATATCATTGTTGATAGTGTTGGTGCATGTGTTGCATCGATATTGGAGGAGATGGAATGGAATGCGCAAGGCAAAGGTATAACCTAGGGCATTTCATTTCACCGGTCATAGGTGTGTAGAGAAGTTTATGACCGGGTTTAGGATAGATGGCCGTACTATCAAGAGGGGCAAACTTGTTTGCATATCGGTCATCTAGTGCCACTCGAGTGATCTAACTTTGCATTGTCGCTAGGATCGAGTGGCGTGGCAAGTTGAGTGGCTAACATCCTTTGGGAAATGATTGTGAAAAGCTAACACACATACACATGGTGGTGTTGGCACATTTACAAAGGAGGTGGTGTTTGCAGGGGTGAGATGGGTTTGGGTCCCTCTCTCCCTCCCGCCGAGCTTGCGAGGCGGGATTCGGCGCTTTCGGGAAAATAGAATGCCTATTTTCTATTGCGTCGGATGCAAGTTCTTGTGGTTAACACATTGGAGCAAGGGTGAAGAAGTTAGAAGTGAAAACGAGTTAGTCACGAAGATGCTGGCGTCGGTCAACTGACCGGACGCTGGATCTGAATGCACCGGACGCTGGCAGGCTGCGTCCGGTCAGGCTGACGTACGATGACGCAGAAGCTGGAGTGTGACCGGACGCTGGCTGCGTCCGATCAAGTGTGACCGGACACGTCCGGTCGAGGTCGGTACCTTACTGGAAACGACCGGACGCTGGGGGTTCAGCGTCCGGTCAGTTGAAAGTTGCTGCGTCCGGTCAAGTCAAGTGACCGTTGGAATCAGGACACGTGGCCGTCTGCGGGCGACCGGACGCTGAGGTCCAGCGTCCGGTCAACACGACCGGAGCGTCCGGTCGGCCCGACCGTTGCCCAGTGAAGGGGTAACGGCTAGTTTAGCCCTTGGGGCTATAAATAGAAGTGGCCCTCGGCCATGGCTGGTGCTGAGCACCTAAGGGGACTTAGTATCCATGCTTGTGAGTGCTTGGGAGCTCTCCATCACACATATACTTGATAGTGATCATTCGATTGTGTGAGTGAGCTATTCTAGTGCGATTGCATCGTGAGGTTGCATCGAGTGGCACTAGGTGGTCGTGTTGCAAGCCGGTGGTGCTTGTTACTCTTGGAGGTTGCCACCTCCTAGACGGCTTGGTGGTGGTCTCCGTCGAAGCCCGCAAGAAGCTTGTGCGGCGCTCCGGAGAAGTGCTTGTGAGGGGCATTGTGCTCGCCCCGCGGGAGCCGCAAAGAGCAACTCTAGTAAAGCATGTCATTGAGCTACCCTCACTCAAGGGGTAGGTTCTTGCGGCGCCCGACGTGCGGGCTTAGCGGGTGATGCTAATTAGCCGCCGAACCACCAAGTGAGCGGTCGACACAATGGGGACTAGCGTGTTGGCAAACACGTGAGCCTCGGGAGAAAAATCATCGTGTCAACCTTATTCTTCCCGTTGGTTTGCATCCCCATTACACAAGCTTGCAATTACTTATATATATATCTTAAGCTTGTGTAGTTGCTCTTGTAATTAGATAGCTTGTGTAGCTAGCTAATTACCTTCTTGCTTGTGTAGCATAGAAGTAGCTCCCTTGTGTGGCTAATTTGGTTTTAGTAACCTTGTTAGTCACATTGCTTAGTTTGTGTAGCTAAGTATTTGCGCTATCTAATTAGGCGTTGGTTGCCTTGTTATTGAGCATTGCTAGTGAGCTTAGTTAGCTTTGTGCTTTTGCTTACTAGCATGTGTAGGAGCTCCCTTGTTGCTTAAAGTACTAGTGGCATAGGTTTGTGTGACCTTGCTCCTAGAATTGTTTAGAAGAGCTCTAGCTAGCCCGGCACCTTAGTTGCATAATTAGTATCTTGGCAAGGTGCTAGTGAGCATATATAGAGGGGTGTAGTCTTGGCTACACCGATTGTTTTAATTCCGCATTTATATCGGTTAGCCGACGCGATTAATTTTAGAAAAGACTATTCACCTCCCCCTCTAGTCCGCCATCTCGACCTTACATCCTCCACCTAGGATTATTACGTGGCATTCAATTTTGCCGCCGAGTAGGCTTACTGTACATGTTCTAAGAGTATCTAAGAGTCTTTCTAAATCTCACTCTCTAAATCATCATTTGGAGAGTCATTTATATAAAAATAGCTTTCTATATCTTTTCACTCTCCAACAGTTTTTCTATATCTCGTGCGCACTCTAGAAAGCCATTCTCGTCTTCTATTTTTTGGCTAGCGAAAATAACGGAATAGAAGATGGCTATATTTAGATAATAAACATTTAGGGAAGCTGTTGGAGGGTAGTTTTTCGTTAAAATCTATATTCCTAACATTTAGGAAGGATATAGAGAGTCTATTGAAGATGCTCCTTCTGTTATAGGCAGATTTGCTTTGAGATTTTTTTATATTACTT